CCGCCCCCGCCAGGACCACCACCACCGTTGTCAGTCGGTCCTCCTCCGTTGCCTCCATTCGGACCTCCACCATTCGGACCGTACCCGCCAGGACCACCACCACCGTTGTCAGTCGGTCCTCCTCCGTTGCCTCCATTCGGACCTCTACCATTCGGACCGTACCCGCCAGGACCACCACCACCGTTGTCAGTCGGTCCTCCAGCATTGCCTCCATTCGGACCGTAACCACCATAGAGATTTTCACCGTCACCTTCTTTTGGTTTGCCGTTATCCGGACCGTTTACGCGGTGCGGCTTTTGTGGATATTTCCTAATTATTTCCGTTTCAACTGGCGTTTTGTTATCTTCCTGTTCCAGGAAACATTTAAGAACAGGTGTTGGTTTTTGTGTATGCTTCTGTGGTTCTTCACTTTCTTCCCGTTCGTCAATGTCGGGTACTATTGTCGTTGTTTGAGGCATCATTGATTTGCAGTTGCACGATTTCGGCTTGTGTTGATGTTGTTTTCTTTTTCCTGTGACCAAGCGAATTAATGCAGATTCAATAATAATTGTTTCCTGCCGATGTCACATCAGTTGTAGCATACAAACTAAAACTTGGTACTGTACTCAATAGCTGATTCTCATCAACTCTTGTTTCGTGCCTCAAACCAGCATTTCTTTTTTAGCGAAATTTTAAAGTACTCCTAATGGTTGCACTGTCAAGCTTCGTCTGATCAGCTCAAAGCGCATACCACACGAGGATCAGACACAAACCAATTTGACCAATCTCCAAATGTGTACTTATTACATCATTTTTACCGTGTGCTCAACACAGCACAAAACCCACGGGTGGGGGGCTCTAAGCTGATAAATCGAATAGGTTAATTGTGTGACCCTTCTGTCCTTGGTTTTCTAACATATTGTGCTAATTCAGTTTACTGACCCGATCTAATCTTTTAGTTCTCGTATTTATAATTGGTTTAACCGTTATATCTTTTACTGCTCCTACTATCGCGGGACCAGACTGAACTGAGTTTTGGTTGTAATACAAACCATGAACCCATATTTAAACGCAATGAAGCTTTCTTTGAGGGGCTGTGCGATACAGACTCCAGTGTTCGCGTGCTATTTGACGGGTGTTGAGTTACCTCGATGCGCATACTGGATCAATGGATTCTACTTGCTGATTAGATTCAACATTATGAAAATCATTACTGACCAGGTTCACGATTTACATTTCTGTTCCTCTGTATACGACGAGATGAGATGTTTTGCAACAGATGGCCCTGGATTTCTTGTAATCGCTTGATCACTAATTGTCGATTCTGTCTCACACACTGTATACCAATTCACCGGCAGTTGCGGTGGCGCATACATAGGCAGAAAAAACCGCCAGCTCTAGCAACGGATGACCCAACATATTCCAAAGTGGTTGGTGAAATCGATGACGCAACCGACAATTGATCGTCAAGCGATTACAAGAAATCCAGGGGCATTAGTTACAAAACATCTCATGACAACAAGACACACAGTTGACCCCAATCCGTCTTTCAAACCAATTCTACATAATAGCAATGCTAAACTCTTGGCCAATAACGAAGTGTTGCTTGTTCGGTTGCATCACCGGACCTTATGCGCACAAACGTTTTTGATACAATCAGTTCACTTACTGCGGAGTTGACCTACTTGTATGTTTAGTGATCTTTATATGCTTGTACATATTCATTCACCATAATTGAATAACCCCATCTATATATGCTTGTTTATTCTACGTAAGCGATTGAGAAGATTGAACGAAATGTTAACATCTCGTGACATTTGTCTTCTTTCTATATTGATGAAATGAGTAAAGATGACCCAATGTTTCAAGTTTATAAAAAATTCATAAAAGTATGTTTTCCGAATAATTCCATTAATGTGGTGTTAGTTGACTTAGGTACCATTTTCGAAAGCCTATCATTAATGATTCCGATGATTCGGTGAATGAGATTATAGCATAATAAACCCGGTTTTGTCACACAGTTGGTTCGGATATAATTTGTTACCACCCGCTAGAATTATGACTTCCATGTGCAGGAAAATAAATGAACGAGGATTATAATAAAAATGAATTATTGCAGGGTAAATTGCAATAAATCCCGAAAGATACTTTGATGCATATTTCCACACGTTATAGTCGCTTTAAAACAAATCTAAAATCTTTTGCCAAAATATGCACAAATGTATAGTTTGAAGCTTCATAAACATTAGACTACAAAAGCCAGTTGCTGCACAGTAGATGTCCCAAATTCCATACCACTCTGGAAATAATGTGGAACGATTGTGTTGTTGGTGTGTTCTTCGAGCTGGAAGTGTTGTTCACACACCACCATCAACATTCATACCACTCTCTTCCACATACTGAACTATTCTTTGTTGTGGGAAACATTGAGTCTAAGCAACATTTGATAATCACTTGGAACTGTTCACAACCATCAACTATTGGAAAAACTGGTTAAATTATCAACCAGATTTTTGTTGGATGATTGTGCTTAGTAGGATGTGATCATTTCCCGGAATGGAAGTGAGTACATTTGGACGAGAAAACAGTATTTTGTATCTGTGATTTCGGCACCAACTGAGCCCGACAGATCATCGAATAAAGCATTATTTTTGTGAAATCACCAGAGAACAAAGTACCTTTCGGACTTGACTCGAAAATATTAATAAACCGGATTCATGTTAATTGCTGCATACCTGATTATGGAAGGAAACTAACTAAGTTGTATTGTATTGTGGCAAATCGAATTTTAGAGAACGACAACCTTCGATTCGGCCTAACCCAAAAAATCGTTCTTCACATGGAGATGGCGAGTGTTTCGGTGGCTTCCCTTGGGTTCCTCTTTACGTAATCATTATGACCCAATCGACTTGATGTCGTTTCACCATGACAATTTTATTCAACATGTGCATGGGTGTATGGAACGATACCTGATAAAACTAACTCAATTTAATATCTCATTAGAAGAATAGTTTCCGAAGGTTTTTAACCCTAGACTGATGGGGTATAAGAGATAGATACCTGTTAGGAGAAGCAAAGCGGAACTGGTAGGCTGATTCCTCCCTGAGGCATCCTTCATCTCTTTGGTCTCTATCACTTACCTTTTTTATTACACAGCAGTGTGTGATAAACAGCAGTCGGGGCGGACCACATAGTCACGAAGATCTGCTGTTCAGTGAGGGTAACCGGCATCCTAAGCCCCTGGGCTTGGAGTAGCGAACCCCGTAAGGCCCCGCTAGCTCATGCGTGGTGTAGACCTATGGTTTCAAGAAGCTGAAGCGCACAACAGCGGCCACAGCCTAGTAAACAAGTGAACTAAACTAATGTCTTAGGTTTAGTGAGGTGCCAAGTCTTGGTGAGGTTGTGCACGGCATACAAAGATAGCTACTTGCTTAAGAGATGGACAAAATCTGGTACCTGATTTATCGTTCAGCGTGGAACTCTGTCAGATCAGTAGAGTTACATGAATCTCTGAGCTGAATCCACACTGCAGTCGAATGGTAAATCAGCTCATCGTGAGCGTCTAGCAACGATACACGAACATATTGCTGCCTTGCGGTCCGTACTCGGCTGTGCATAGGCTGGGGTATGTCCTCCGAATAAAATGCCAGGTAACTCTTAGGGCATCTATTGTACCAGACTTCCATAAAACATAGTGAAATATCACGAAAACAGATTAACCTCTCTGATGCGCTAGCCGCTATCTACGCAGCATTTCACGAATATGGTGGGCAGCCGAACGAGCAAGATAAGGTTAGACACAGAGTTCTGGGTAACCACGGTCACCCATCCGAGCAAATGGTTGACCATAGATTACGTTGTTTGGGACTTGTGTAACGCATATCACGGCGAGCGTTGTTCGCCGAGACAGGCAGTGGTTGAAAGAAAGCCAAGGGTGGTCAAGCTAAGATCTGGCATGAGGGTATGAAAACCCTAACCAGGAGTCTGGGTCACGTATTTCCCGTTAGGCTCCCTGGATGGGGACCTCGGGATGATCGTAACCGATGGTTGAGTGTCGTAAACAGTGGCGTTGGTGTATCTTGTCAATTTCTATGCAACATAAGTCCACTGAAATTCTAAATTTTCTCTTTGATCCCACTTACAAGATTTCCCATCTTTTTCCTAATAGTCATGCAAATGGGCAGCCAAAAGACAGCAACCAAAACCGCAGCACGATAGTGCATGGTTAATGGTTGTACAAACTGAATTGAACAGAACTGATTCAATGGTTCTTCAATAGTGGAGTTGTTTGTTTGTTTGGTACCGCACGGGATGACAGCGGAAGTGGCATCTTCATGTTAGTCTGAAGCCCAAGAATTTCCCAAAGTCAACCGTTAAACTTGATCCAGCGGACTCCAAATTTTTGCGCCTAATACTAAACCATCTAGAGAAGTTTGCGATGCCATAAATCAAACTATAAATCAGTTTGTGAATTCCTTCATGGCTGTGGATGTACTCACCCAAGACATTGTATATTGAATCAGATTTTAGTCTTGTCTGCCAGGCTAATGAAAATCCTACCCAATGCTAATTGAATATCACCAAAACGCACATCAGGTGCCATTCGTCAAGCGGAGATAATAATCTCCCCAAAACAAATTCGATTAAACATATTAGGCAAATAATTCACCTATTTCCTGTTTGTATGTAATAGCAAGAGATTAGCCTCCCTCGCACTCCCCAACCCATACACCATCCAGATATAGTTGATAACGTTCAACCGGTTATAAAAGATACTACGAATCTGTTGGGTCTAATTGTCTAATTCGTTGGACCAGTTAGTTAGCACACGTTGAAATCTTGATTGGTGATCTACAAGCACGTGGGCCGGCGGGTCAACCGGGCTAAGAGTGTACGAGCAAGTTCGCACGTTGAATAAGGACAGCCATATCCAGTGCAATCGGGGCGGATAAACAGGTCAAGGTCATCACAGGCCATTGTGTCGTTCCCGAGACACAAGTCTGGCTCACCGATGGAGGCGGATCGATCGATCGATCGATCGTCCGTCCGTCTGTCCAATGCTTTTGTAATTGTGGCACTCGGGCACCCCGAGCACAATAGCCACGATCAAACAAAAGGATGAATGAGTACCACCGGGTATTTACCCAATATTTTGCTTAATTTTCCTCGTCTCCTCTGTGACCGAATACCACCTTAAAAAAGGAATTCATTTTCTAGTTCAAATCAATTGTTCCAATAGCGCTTCAGAAAGAAGGGATAAATGAAGCGATCTCCTCCGTTAGACGGTATTCTATTGAGTCCTGACACATGGTGACGTCAATGGAGGTAAACCAAAACAAATAATAGCAATCAATCCTCATAGCTTTCCCCTTAAAAGAAAGGCTTACTCTCACGTTTCTATTATTGTCTGAACAGAAGTATTGGGCGATTTGAACAGGTAGGTCAGAAGACAGCCATTGTGATAGGAATTCCTCTCAAGAGA